GAACTATATATTTTCATATCTATTGCAAAACAAATATGGACAAGAGAGAATTACGTATCTCACTAAACCAGCTGAATAACTAATTCCACGCTAATTTCATTAATTGTTAAATCACCTCACTATTAGTCTTACAAATTAAACAAGCCCTTGGAGTGCCCCGGCTAAACACCCTCAACCGACAAGGGCTCACTGTATGTGGTTGCAGGTCATCGGCCAAGAATACACCGGCATTGATTTCTACAGTAATCATCTACATCATTTAGTGTGGTCCAGTTTTTTTACCCCAAACATTGACCAACTCTTATTATCAGAGTAATAGAAATAGAACACCCACAACTACTCAAAAGCTGAATTTTTCTTGAACTAGATTGTTGTCCTCCGTAATAACACCAATGACAACATAAAATGTGCAGGCATGGTTTGATTATTACATTATAATAAGTACTTTTCTTGCTTTTCCATATCAATTTTGTTTCAATAACACAAATCAATTGGCAGATTTCAAAACGAGGAACATAATACAGACATGAGAATCTAATCAGGGCAATAAATAGATGTAATAAGAAGATCAAATCTAAAAAATACAAAATATAACAAAACATACAAATGTATATATATATGGTGTGTGTGTATATATATATATATAGAGAGAGAGAGAGGGGTACCAGGAGGTGATGTTGATAAGGGATCTGGTAATATACCAGTTGCTGGACGAGTTTGGATTCAAAAAAGAGTAATGCTATAGCGCAAAAATTCGAGCTTTTCCCAAACTAAGCCTAAAGTTATTTCCCAAACTAAGCTAGTTTGGCCGAAATTTCCAAAATAAGCTGAAGTGTGTTTACAAAACAGGCATCCAAAATAAGTTGAAGCGTGTTTACAAAACACGCTTTCAGCATGTTCCTGGTCCAGGAGCACAAAATGAATAAAATCGTAAAAGCGTGGTTACAAAACACGATTTTAATTAAGAAAACGTTGTTCCTATTAACGTTTTCATCTAAGCTATTTCTAACCACGCTTTTAACATATATTAAAATGTAATCAAAATAAAAAAGTAGGGTTGTAGCTCAAATGATAGTGCTCATGGGAGAGGCACGGGGTTCAATCCCCTGCATCTCCAAACTCCAATTATTTAAAACGTTTGTTTGGTCAACATAATTGTTTAAAAAATATTACTATTTAGATCTAAAAGTTCATTTTCTAGACATAGTGATGTGTCAAGAAAATTATTGGTTCAAAATTAAATATTTTTTAATATCAAATAATTATCTTTTTGACACATCACTAAATTTATAAAGTGGATTGTCAAAAGATAATTATTTGACAATTAAAGAATATTTTTTGAACCAATAATTTTCGTAACACATCACTAAGTCTAGAAAATGAACTTTTAAACTTGAATAGTAATATTTTTTATGTTGACATTTTGAAAAAATTTGTATTTTATAGAGAATTTTTTTAGTTAACTAAAAAAAATATTACTATTCAAAAAAATTTGTATTTTTCTCTATAAAATACAAATTTTTTCAAAATATCAACATAATTGTTTAAAAAATATTATTATTTAAGTCTAAAAGTTCATTTTCCAGACCCAGTGATGTGGCAAGAAAATTATTGGTTCAAAATTAAATATTCTTTAATTGTCAAACAATTATCTTTTGACACATCAGTGGACTCACTTTATAAATTCAATGATGTGTCAAAAAGATAATTGTTTGATAATTAAAGAATATTTAATTTTGAACCAATAATTTTCTTGACACATCATTAAGGTCTACGAAATGAACTTTTAGACCTGAATAGTAATATTTTTTAAACAATTATGTTGACATTTTGAAAAAAATTGTATTTTATAGAGAATTTTTTAAGTTAACAAATAAACGTTTTACTTTTTTTGATAAAAAAAATTACATAATAAATATATAAAGTATAGAGTAAGTGAAAAAAAAAATTAAGGAGGAGTTGAGTTGAATTTGAAAAATAACAAGAGTTTCGAGATGCTGGGAATTGAACCCTATGCCTCTCCCATGCAAAGCATGGAGCATTACCATTTGAGCTACAACCCCACAAGACTTTTGTTTTGATTACATTTTAATATATCTTAAAAGCGTGTTAAAAATAGCCCTTTTACTTACAAATGAAAACGCTAATAGGAACAACATTTTCTTAATTAAAAGCGTGTTTTGTAACCACACTTTTACGATTTTATTCATTTTGTGCACCTAGGCCAGAAACATGCTGAAAATGTATTTTGTAAACACGCTTCAGCTTATTTTGAAAATTTCGACCAAACTATGTTTAGTTTGAGAAAAGCCCCCAAAAATTCTACTAAACATTTTATTAAAATGTCTCGTATGTTATTTGACTACAATTAATCCCACACCCATGTAAAAGATGTGAGTCTTATATAAATCCTACAGTTATGTGACATATTTAATAGAATATTTAATAAAATTTTTTAAATTTCTAACATTTTTATTCAAAAAAATAACAAACATAACAGTTAGGAATAATTAATCAATGTCAACTTATTGTACCATGACCACAAACAAAATAAATAGATTGCCTCTCGTCCAGAATGCTGTATCACGGGTCCTTTTCATGATCTGAACGATTTAAAAAAAAAAAAAAGATAGAGATTGATTCCATAATCATAATAATTTATTTAATTTATTATGTTTGTCATTTCTCGTAATATCACAAATAAATTTCCATTGCTTATTTATGCTAATTTCATATCATATCACACTCCTATTTTTGGTGACCTCCGATCATAAATAACTTCCGGGTCCTTTTCATGATCTGAACGATTTAAAAAAAAAAAAAAGAAGAAGATAGAAATTGATTCCATAATCATAATAATTTATTTAATTTATTATGTTTGTCATTTCTCGTAATATCACAAATAAATTTCCATTGCTTATTTATGCTAATTTCATATCATATCACACTCCTATTTTTGTTGACCTCCGATCATAAATAACTTCCCCCTATATGATTTTTTAAAATTTACTTAATAAATTTAAGCTTAATGAATTAAATTGAGTTTAACTCTAGCTATTCATAAATTATGAGTTGCATTGTTTATATTTTTTGATTTTTTGGCTGATTTAATTTACTAAACTCTTACTATGTAACATATCGGAATTTTAATTTTATTGTTGCAAATATAGTTTCTCTTTTTTATTTGGGAAAATTAATCTAAAGTCTCTATCACATTTTTAGTAATGAAAGAAATCCACAATATTATTTTGTGATGTCTAAAGTCTCTCAACTCAAAACCTATAAATCACAGAAAAATTTGACATACTAGAGAGCTACTCTCCCCCTGCACCTCTCTGTCTCTCTACAACGCTTTCTCTCTCTCTCTACACAGACTATGTTGATCCTCTCTTCCTTGCCTCACAAATACATCTTCTCCACCACAGCTAGGGTTTCTTTGTCATCTTTAATCTCCTCGTCTTCCAAACTCAACTTGATCTCTTGCTCGTTGCCTCTTCGATTAAGCGTTCACAAGTTTCCGTGCTTTGTGCTTTACTACTCTTCGAAGGCTAGAGGAATGGTAGAAATGGTGCAAAACAAGGAGTCTGTGGTGGCCGTCGCCGCCTCCAGCTCCACGACGAACCTCGGCTAAAAATAATTGATGGGTATGTAAAGAATCGTTTTTAGAGTTGCACAAATTGTTACAAGTGAGTTTATAGATTGTGTTCGAAGATAGATACGTAATGGATGAAGAATAGATTAAGAGGTCTGGAAGTGAATACAGAAAGTATGATTGGGCTTTTGAAGCTATGGACTCAAGTTGACCACAGAAAAGTAGAATTGTCTTCATGAGTTTGTTTGGATTTAATTATATAGATGGTTCTCTATTCTTTCATCTCACATTTCTCTACAATTAATTGGATTTCTTTCATTCCTATGTTTTTTCCCCATCCATCTATAATCTTGATTTTTCTTGTTCTTGGTAGAAAAATTTTCTGGTTTGAACTCAGAAAAATTCTTGCAAAAACCAAAGAAATTCTTCTTTCAATGAGTCAGTCTCTCTCTCTCTCTCTCTCTCTCTCTCTCTCTCTATATATATATATATATATGTGTGTGTGTGTGTGTGTGTATTGTTGTTGCTTATGTTGGTGATCAATTTGTGTATTGCACATTGTGATTGAGAAGGCAATTCAAAGAAAATCTCTAGACTAAAATCTAGAGAATTTCTCTGACCTTCCCAAAATTTCTATAGAGAGAAATTTGTATATATATATATATTGATTGTTGTTATTGTTTATTTGGTTAATCAATTTGTGTATTACACATAGTAATTGGAAAGGCAGAGAAATTTTTTTTTTTAAACCCAAATAAATTCTTACAAAAATCAGAAAAACTCTTTAGACTGAAATCCAGAGAATTTCTCAGACCTTTTTAAATTTCTCTGGAGAGATTTTCTAAAAAGTCTAGAGAAATCAAAAAAAATTACTTAAGGAAATAATTTTCTGCAGCCGGTGATGACAAGGTATTAGAGCTTCAGATTGTTAACAATTTTGAAAAAAATGTGATTTTCTCTGGAAAGAAATTCTCTAAGAAAAATTTCCATAATTTCTCTAAAATAAATTCTCTAAAAAGTCTAAAATTTCTCTAAAGAGTAAGAAATCCAAAGAAAATTTCTCTAGAAAGAATTTCTTTAGAAAATCAAATAAATTCTCTAGATCGAATTTTAATCCAAACACATCCCAATCACGTGTTCTCACAAGGTAACCATAGATAAAATCTGAGTGATTTCAAGTTAAATCTCCTTTTTTTCAAAAGTTGATTTCTTCAAAAGGATTAAAAAAAATCAACAAATACAATAGATGACTTACACGATGGACCAAATCCGAACTATCAAAAAACTGCATGTTTCAATTTTTTAACTAATGAAAGGTTTGATCTCCAAATAGATGATTAACGACAGGATCAATCTGAACATTTGAACAAATGCATGATCAATGCTACCATTAATGAAAGGTTCAATCTACACAAATCCTGCTAATACTAGAAGCTTGCGCAATCAGCATAATTAGTTCAAACACAGACAAGATAATAATCAAATGCACTGTGCCCTTAAAATTGCAAACAGATTCAAATCACAAAAGGTGTTGCAACTTCATAGAGCAATGTCTATGCCCATCTTGTACTACTTAATTTCAACTAGTCCTATCCAAGACACAGGATTTCTACATTAATACACTTCCAACAAAAATACAGCTCCCTTTCCATAGAATGCTGGTTCATTCCATCCATTTACAAAAATAAAGAAAGCCTTCCCATTGAGCATTTTTTTAGTTCTTGAACATTGAGCATCCTCCAAACCTGTAACTTTACTCCAAAAGAAATCCCATGAATATTAAACTGATGATTAGCTGTTAAGGGTGGAGAGCATGCCACCAGTTGCAGTTGGTAACACAACCTCCCAGCCAGGTCCTTTCAGAGGAAGCAAACTGACAGCAAAGTCAGGCTTCCCATCTTCAGCTAATGGACCAGCAATCAGATCACTGCGGTCTAAGATCCTTTCCAAATCTTCATCACTGACATCTGTCTGTATCATCTTGTCTTCTGCATCTTCTTCATCACGGAGCAAAGCCAGCAGCTCCTCTTCCTGAAAAAAATTACATCTTTATTGTTGTAGTCCAATATTATAGAGAAGCAAATACTTTAACATCTCCAATAGATCCCAACCTTCACCAATCAAAACATATAGGACGTGTGAGAAAAATCAAGAATTTGGCTGGTGCAACAAAAAAAGAAAAAGACTGGTCTGTCATTTAGGTGAGAAAAGAAAAAGAAAATGGTTGTGCTTTCTACTTCCAAAGGTATTATACTCATATCTAGAATTGGCCCCCTATATAGAACTTGGCCAAGTCAACCCACATAGCTCCCAACCAAAACTCCACAAAGACCATCACAAATGTTTGTGTATGAAAACTTTGAATCTTTAATCTGACTAAAAATGAAATTAAAAGCAGTGATAAAAAGTTATATGTTAAATCTTTACTTACAAATTTAGAACTTACTCAGATAAATAGCAAGGAACATTTCAACATATACTATGTCCTATGCAAAGGGTAGAGGATAAAACTAATTAACAGAGAAAGGGTAGAGGATATACAATAGGGGCTATAGCTGTACTCTTCATCTGACCATAGAAATTTGTTGCTACAAAAATATCGAGGAATGAAAAAAGAAATTATAATAGAAGAAAGCATCATTGAGAAAATCTTAGATCTGACCCTGGCACTCTAACCAAAAGCAGATCTCACAAACTAAAACAGAAACATACTGAATATGATTACAACAGATATCACAAACCTCCATGCCATCTATCCCACTAGGCATGATCCTTTCTTGCTGAAATTGCCCTTTCCCAATCACCACATGCTCAAGCTTCAACTTACTGAAAGCTCTTTTCAAAATTCGACCCTGGTAGCATACAGTTCCTCAGTTTCTTCACAATATATATAGAATTAAGCTGAATTATTTTCAAACAAGAAAGACAAGGACATCCATGAGTTACCTCAACAGACTGAGCTGTTGACAATCTATAAACATGAACAGGCTTTGTCTGACCTATTCTGTGACACCGATCCATTGCTTGTAAGTCCATTTGAGGATTCTGTGATGCAAAAGCAATAAAATACATACTTAGATATTCAAAAATGTCAAATGCATCCAAAGAGGCACAAACAAAACGAAAATGTACCCAGTCACTGTCATATAAAATGCAGGTATCAGCTGCAGTAAGATTGATACCCAGCCCGCCAGCCCTAGTGCTGAGAATAAATACTCTGTAATTACTCCCCTCATCATTGAACTCCTGGATCTGTATGTGAATTCAAAAAATGTGTCATTAAACAAAAAATAAATTCACATTTATCAACATTTGACCAATAGCAAAAAGTAGCAAGTCTGTGGCACAACAGAACAAAATAATTGACAGCACATCATAGAGGAAGACGATATGCCATCTATACTAACAGATTCTGGACCAAAAACCAAAATTACAAAAACCACTCTATGGATGAATATAATTCAGCTTACCATTTACCAATCACTCTCTCTAAACAACAGCAATGAGTTATTTCAAAAACTTCACCCATACAATTTCAATAGTACCTTCTACTTTAAGCATCTAAAACTCTAAGGGCCTGTTTGGTTGTGTAAGATTGGAAGAAAAGCAACACCAATTTCAGCATGCTCGCAACCAACTGCAGTTATGGCTGAGCAAAACTAATATGATAGCAAAATCAGAAATAATGGGATTTGCATAAACAAATCAGTAGACGCCATAAATAATACCTTTGCTAAAAATAAGTGCAGGAAGTGCAAAAGAAATTCTTTGTTTAAATTAAAGATGACAAGAGATGGAAACAAGCAGAACAACTTACTACCAGGTCCAAGCCCATGAACTTGAATGGGGAATATAAAAAATGAATCGAAATGAATTGATTATGCAACAACAAACAGAAGATAATTGGAAGAGTAAAACACCCATAAATTGGACAATCTATTAAGATTACAATTGTAGAGAACAGTTTTTAATGAAATTCCAGGGATAGTTAATAGCTTCCCCTCCATCATCATTAGCCTAGCTGGCTAGCTGTACTTTCAACCTCAAAGGTACATCATAACATTTTATGGAGAAATATATATGTATCTATATAGGTCCAAAACATAAATAAATAAAAACTTTTTTGAAAGGACCAGAATTCTCTAAAAGACTTTATCCAGTATATTTAAGTGTACAAAAAAGACTTCAGACAGTGTAGCACTGACCTGTCTTTTTCTTTCATCCAATTTCACACTGCCATCAATTCTACAAACTTCAAATCCCTTTTCACTAAAATAGTAATGCATGATATCCAAAATCTTAGTCCACTGAGAGAAGATCAGAACCTGTTTGCCAATACAACAGATTATGAGAAGGAAGATCCGATAACTAGAAGGGAAAAAAATAAAAATAAAACAAGTTACTACTTTACTTGCAAACATACTTTGTGCTTGAGAGCAAATAGCTTTGCTAGTAATCTGTCCAGCAACAGAAATTTGCCGCACTGCTCAACTATCTGTTCTACTGGTGGATAGAAATCTGTCAAGATAGACAAGCAAGAAAATGGGTAAAGAATTTGAAACTCCAGCTTGCTTTAAATCTAAGGACATTGCAAAATACATACAAGACCCATCAAAGGCAGACTCTAAGAGATCAGGATGGTTGCAGTTCTTCCGAAGTTGAACCATTAGATTATTAAGCTTCCCTTTCATGCCACGTCCTGCCATCACAAAAATTTGTAAAATATCACTTTAATAAAGAGGCAAGTCAACCATTAGATATAACCTTCACGTACAATATGGGGAAAAAAATAGCCGGAACCGATGAATACTCAAGTCAAGACTGACTCTATGTATGTCAAGTATGCACACCCGAGATCAAAAACCAGGTTGGAGCTACATACACCAACATAGTGGAAGCATGATAAGACGTCATAAAGTCACCCAGATACACTTCTCACCAGAATCTGATCACCAACCTAAAAGACATCAAGAATCTTACTCTAGGAACAGAAGCATGCACAGTGCTCCCCACAGCAAATCATGCTTAGTCAATATCTTAGACAAAGCCCCAGAAGGAATACCCTCTTCTGGAATTATGCTATTGATAGGGAAACAATCCTACAAACTACTAAATTGACACCTTCCATTTCCTCAAGACTATCTTCAACATAATCTCAAATCCTTATTTGTACAAACTGTGCTTTGAAACTGCCAATTTTATCATTAGAGTTCAAAAAGAAATTTTCATTTCCCCAGTACAGCAGAAAAGAGTATCAGCAAGCAGTAAACAAGAAACAGGGAAAAAATATTTCTCTTAATTCATTTTTTTTCCAGTTTCACAAGTAGCTGATGCAGCTCTTAAGCAAAGAAAATCCATTACCAGTGTCCACCTTGTCTCGCAAATAATTTTCAAGTGTTTTATTAACAAGATGATCCTGGAAGTTCCTTTGATGCTCAGTCATGCTAGCATATAAGATGATCTCCTTTTTTCGAGGGAGCATCTGCTCAACGTCTGATTTCATCCTGCGGAGGAGGAAGGGACGCAAGATGGAATGAAGTTTTGCAACCACCTGCCAGCATCAAAACCACCAAGTATTATGCATAGAACCCAACTAAAATGTTGTCAAAAGGGGAGAGTAAAGACACACAAAACCAGAATAGAATACACACTTGGGCCTTTCTCTTCTCTTCCATTTCTTCCTTCATCGCTTCATTGGTGCACTTGCCCGAAAGATCAAACCTAAATATATAATCATGTCGTTATACAACCAGGGAAATGCAAGTAACCACTTATCAGTGCAAAAAATAAATGCATAAAAAAAGAAACAGACAAACAGCTAAGAGGAGCAAACTATGGTTCAAAATCATGCTTTAGAGGCAGAGGATAAAAACTTTACATCAGTGCAATGGAAATCTTCCACAAAAATAATTGTATAAATTTTGATCTTTCACCAGAACCAAGTCATTTATGTGGCATTGAATCAGAATAACAAGGCCTGAATATACTGGATATGCCTGCCGAGAACTTGCCGGACCTGTTATCTTTCATTTCTTCTCTTTTCTTCTCTCAGATTCAATGCCACATATACTGGATAATGTCTGGATCAACATAGAATTTGTATGACTTGGTTCTGAATCGAAATAACATAAATAAAAGTGCCTACAGGATTTATATGTTAATTAGTGTATATATACATGTATCAATGCCTGCATAATATGGGCTCTATAACTATTTTTCAGAGTAGTTTATTACCACAAAGAGAGAGAGAGAGAGAACCAATTCAGCAAATATCATGAATCAGCTTACAATTATATCAACAAAAAGAAAAATCATATTTAAATTGTGAACAACAAAAAGGGCAAACCATACTGACCAAGACTCAAATTCTTCATGGGATGAGAATATATCAGGCAAAATGAAGTTCAACAATGACCAAAGTTCTGCCAAGTTATTCTGCAGAGGAGTGCCAGTTAATAGAAGCTTATTTTCAACAGGTAACCACTTCAATTCCTTCAGCAATTTGCATTTGGAGTTTTTCAACCTGTGCCCCTTTAAGAGGAAAGATAAATAGTTTAGATACAAGAGCTAAAGTGTCCAATGGGAAATTCAAGATTCAGCATATGCTTACTAACACAAAAGCGCAAGCGCGCGAGAGAGAGAGAGAGAGAGAGAGAGAGAGACTAGTTAGCCTGAGGATTTACCTCATCCACCACCATGTATTTCCAATTGTAATGCCTCAAGTGTTTTCTCGCATCATTTAGTGCAACCTCATAAGAAGTAACCACAATGGGGAATTTGGAACTTATTGTTCTTGGCATGTGCTTCCTTCTTAAATCATCCCTTTCTTTCCTATCACCATGGTAGATAATTGAATTCACTGATGGCGCAAACCTTTGAATAAACAAAAAAGAAAAGAAAACAATGCTTTGATATTAGAAAAAAACTAGAATTTGAATAGAAGATGATATGAATCAATACAATTCATAAAATATACAGAGATATAGGCTGTGTTTGGTTTTGATTTCAAAACATGATTCTACACTATAGTTTGAGTATAATGTTTGTTTAGCGTTTTGGAATCACGTTTCAAACGCTCTGCAGAGAGCTCTGTCTCTGCTTTATCTCAGCCGCACATTTCAGCGTTTTTTTTTTGAAAATTTTGCCTGACGGGACGTCTAGCTGGTTGACCGGAATAGTGATTTTTTTTTTTTTTTGGGCACTTTTTTTTTAAATAAAAAAAAAAATTTTTTAAAATCTAAAATTTTTAAAATTTTTTATGTGCTTTAAAATAATTTTGACTTGTATATTTAGTTATGAGTTGTAAATTTTTGTATCACATATCAAATGTCACATCAATAATTCTCCACTCAAATCAAAACCCTTTTCAAAACTATTTACCAAACAAATTTTCTACACTCAAATCATAATTCCACAACACACAAATTCAAAATACAACTCATACTTTCAAGTCACATTTACAAAACTCTACCAAACGCTACCATAAATTTTAAAAATTAAAAAAAAATTTACCTTGATATCTCATTAACCCAATTTGAGAGAGTAGACAGTGGAGCAATGACCAAATAGGGACCATCCAACCCCTTCCCTTTTAAATGTGCAAGGAAGCCAATTGTTTGAATTGTCTTCCCAAGCCCCATTTGATCAGCAAGGATGCCATTCAATCCATTCTGCCAGAGAGAGATCAACCACTTCACACCTTTAAGCTGATAAGGCTTCAACTTTCCACCAGTCAATAGGGGTACCAGTTCAGCTTGCTCTTTCGCAACTCTCTCATCCTCAGTGAGGTTCATATCTTCAGAGGCAGATCCTTCTTTAAATCTTGTGAGCATGGCTGCAACAGCTCTCGTGGCCTTTTTCTGAGGAGGTTAAAAATACATGACATGTTACAGATTTTGCAGGGCAGGAAATAAGTTGCCAAGTTTTAAATACCTCACAAAATAAAGTGACCAAAAAATGACAAGATCTACTTTACACGTGAACAAGACACAAACAAGCCAAATAAACATACAAAGGAATCATCAAAGGCATTTTTTCTATGCTCGGATAAACCAGGATAATGGAATTGCAATATTCATATATATGACATAATAAAATATATAAAATTGCATATTTTGGATGTGTCACTCAAGTGTTGATTTCTGCAATTTTTAAGAATTGTCAAGTCAACACATCAATGTTGCGTCGCGTGTCCGTGTCATGTCAAATATCCTCATTTATGATTCTTAAACTAACATATACATCCAAAAGAAACCTGACGCAATATAGATAAAAGACCAAAGCAGCAGCAACAATCATTATTCCCAGCTTAACTAGGTTGATATAAACTACAACTGTTTTTATTAAAACAATCCCAAGAACACTTTCACATTTTTTAGAAGGTTCCAAGTTCCAACTATTATAATGTAACACGGCCATTGAGCTTTCAATTAAACCCAATCCAGTGACACTGCAGAACAGTGGCATTAATTCAGATTTGAAAATTTATAATCAGCTCAATACCCTTGATTTCAGTAGAAAAACTTGTTGTCATCAATCATCACAAATGGTTCTTTACTCTTCTTATAGATACACTCAGAACTCAAAAGCTTCAGTTTCTCTTACTTAATTAACATATTATAGGCATAGTAGCATGAATTCCATATTGCACAAAAGCTGCTGCTATACACATGATAGAAACAAACTACATGGACCATGCATGAACTTCGATTGCAGTTTGTGGCCAGTGGTCAAATTTCAAAGCATCATATATATTGTCATGTTTGGTACACATACCCATTCCCAAATAACATATAGTGTAGAAAGAACATGGTGTTCCAAGATGAAACAAGGGGACCAAGCAGTAAGTTCAGTATCAAAATCTGAGAAAAGTAAAAAAGAGAAGGCAAAGCTTACATTGTTGAACTGTGCAGCAGCTTTTCTTTTCATACCACGACCTTTCTTTTTTCCTTTAACAGTTTCATTGTATTCATCTGCTCCATTCTAACAATATAATTATATAATAATTTAAATCAGCAATAAGATAAAAAGCACTCATATAAAAGTTTCATCTGAAAGGGGCATGAGAGACTACAGTTGTGATATCATCCATCTTTTCCAGCAGAAATTCTGAATAAAGCTGGGTTTGTGTTAGAAGCTCATCCAATTTGGTGAACTGGGTGTCATTCAATTGTGGTGTCTCAGGCTCATTTGTTCTGTCATCTTCTTCCTTCACCCGAGCTTCCAGCAACTTCTCTTCTTCCTCAGCCATGGCTTTTGATATAAGAGAAGAATCTCCATTTTTTGCATCAAGGAGTATTTCCTCCTCCAATTTGACTCCAGCTTTCTCATCACAGATTTCCTTCATGTTAAATGTATCATAATATTAATTAGATATTACACAATTGAGAGAAATCCAACACTACTTACGAAGGCACATCAAGTAGAAACTAGTAATTAAACCCTCTCGCCTAAAACCAGACATGGTAATGGGAATGGGGCAAGAAAGAAGGGGAATTGCAACTCCGAGATAACAAGAAAAAACAAATTAAGGTCCTGTACATAACTGACAGTAGGAAAAAGAGTCAATACATATGACCAGGCATGTTAGTATTCCATGTTGAATGTGTCAATCAAGTAATAGCCTAAACACAATCTTCTAACAGATACTTTATTAACATCTAACATAAACATTCAATGCAGCAAAATTCAATAACATGAAATGAAACCAAGTAGTAGTTAATAATCATGTCACAGTAACTTTTCAAATAACAAAAAATGTGGAAGTAAATTGGAGAACTAAAGAACTGGGAACAAAATACTACTTTAACCACTTCACAACTGCTAAAACTACAATAAAGGCTCATTTGGCAATGGGCTTCATCATTTGTCAAGGGTACATTTTAGCCAAAAAAATACTATAAATTATTGCATCACTATCTACTTTTCTGCACATCTTTTCGTAAAAAATCAAAAATTTATTAAAATAATATATTCCCAAACGAGATTAGCCAAAAAACCAACGAGCCATACAAAAAAGTCCAACATTCCTTCCCTTCTATCTACTTTTTGCAACTTTTTTTTTTTTTTTGTAAAAAACTAAAAAATCATTCCCAAACATTTCGAACTTTTTCATCTAAACCAACCCTAAGTGAAAGCTAAGGATCTGTTTGGTTCCCAAGAAAAGTTGAGAAAATTAAAAAAAAGGGGAAGGAATGTCAATGAAAGGCTTCTTATCTGAAGCATTTTCCATGTGTTTCCTTCGTTTTTACTGATATCAAACAGAGGGCAAAGCAATCCTTTCTACTGTGTTTAGTACCTAGAACTAAACGGATAGCTAAGGATCTGCTTGGTACCCAAGAAAAAGTAAAATTAAAAAGGACAGGGAACAATGTCAATGAAAGTACTAGTTTATCTAAAGCATTTTCCTTGTTTTCTTTAGTTTTTACTATATCAAGCATTCCAAGGTTTCCTTATTTTTATTTCCATTACCAAAAAACAAAACAAAACAAAACAAAACAAAACACCCATAAAAAAACAAAAACCATCCAAAATAAATAAATAAATAAAAACAACCCAAAACTCCAATGGTGAAGAAAATCAGAACAGAATAAAAAAATTGTAAATGCACATTTGAGACAAACAAGAAAAATGTGAGAAAGAGAAAGAAAATGAAGCCAAACCTCGTCCTCCAGTACGGAAGTCGGAGACTCTGCTTCGTTCTTCACTTCGGTCTCAGGCACCATCTCCGAGTTCCAGATCCTGAAAATGGACAACAACAAAAACTACTAAAAATACACTACAATAAAATTTCTCAAGAAGAAGAAGAAGTAGAAGAAACAAGGGTTTACTGTTGGCAAAAATTTGAAAAACAGAGAATCTAAACTGTTTTGATTGTTTCAAAATTAGGGCACAGATATAAAAATAGAACAATCACGAGAACGTTGATGAAACCAGTTTGATTTGAACTTACTTTGAAATTTTTGGGAGAGAGATAGTCGCAGAGAAATGAAGGAGAGGTATAGAAAGTGAGACAGAGAACAGAGGAGAGAGAGAGTAGGGAGAGATACAGGGCGTAAAAGCTACTATATAGGACTTTTGAGTACACTATTAAATTAATTATTCCTTATTATTGTCATTTTCGGTGGTCTGGGTTGGAGCTTTGGGCGGGAAATCAAACTTTAATGTTTGCCCTGAATTGTTCGCCTAATTACAGCGGACCCGCTTTGGAACGTCGGACCACCATAAGTGGGTTCTGTGCTTGTACCGTAACGGGGTTCTGTGCTTGTACCGTTTTGATTGGCTTCCAGTAGTGTTTTTTTTGAAAGGGAGGTTAATCAATAAATTTCATATTTTAGATTTGTGATTTATTATAATTTTATATTTTTTTATGATTTATTTAGGTCAAATTTGACATATGTTTAAAAAGTTAAAAAATTAAAAAGTTATTCAAAAAGTTAAAAAGTTATTACTATTGACCAAAAGTCAAAAAGTACGACTACACAACTCTCAATCTTAATTTTCTTCTACATACTAAGGCCTAGTTTGGCTACTGCAAAAAAAGTGCACTTATTTCATCTTTTTATCTTTTTTGGGTCACATCAATCAACATCTTCTCTCTACTTTTTCTACACATAATACAAAAAAAGTCAAAAAGTACACTTATTTAGTCTTCCCAAACTAGGCCTAATTTATACAATTTTTTCATAAAAAGTCAAAAAGTTAACCCAAACAATCATATTTTTTTCTTCAACTTTTTAGTCCAAAAAATCAAAAAATACACTTTTAAGACATCCCAAACAACCTCTTAATTCTTATGAATTTGTAATAACTCATTTATCTGTCATATTACTATTAGTATGTCATATTTAAAAAAGTACATTAAAATTTTTAATTTATTTTATTGTCACATGTTACATTTGAAAAAATTACATTAAAGAATTTATAACTTATTTAGAGTATCACATCATACCCGTCATGTTGTCACATTTGGAAAAAAATATTACTAAATAATTTTTAATTATTTTTGAGTATTACATCATACCCCCCGATATCACATTTAGAAAAAATACACTAAATAATTTTTAATTATCACATCATACCTGTCATACCTACCACGTTGGAGTGTCATATGTTACATTTGATAAAATTATATTAATGAGTTTTATTTTATTTTTTTGGATCTTAATATACTTACTACGTCGTCACATTTGAAAAAATACACTATGAAGTTTTTAATTTTTTTAAAGTTCTAGGGGGTAACTTGGGCGAGTTCAATCCGAGCAATCCGAACCCAGCTCGAATTTTTTTAGAGTTTAGACAAGATATTTTTAAATTTTGTACGGGCTTAGGCAAAAATTCAGAAAATTGAATTAAATTTAGACAAGCTTGAGCAAATATGTCAAACAACCCGAGCAACCCGAAACTCGAATTATACATGTATAGATATATAAAAATATTAAATATATATAAAAATTATTAGCTATTACATGATATTAACGTAATTTAGATTATTAAATCATATTAATGTACATATTATATATATAAATAACATAAATCTTACTTTTTTTTATTTTCACTCATAAATTGTAAAAACTACTATAGCGACATCTCTCTTACATTATATAAGGGGTTGTTTGGGATGTCCTAAATAATTACATTTTTTTACTTTTTATGAAATATGGGTTGGATTTGAAGTGATGTGACTTAAATAAGATGATGTGACTTAAATAGGATAATGACTTTTTAACTTTTTTAGGAAATGACAAACAAGACCTAAATTATTTGTTTTGATGGTATTAAATTTTAATAATTTAATAATGTAGCTGCAAAAAAAAAAAAACACACACACACACACACATACACTAAAATTCATTTACAATTCGAGTAATTCGGGCAATTCGAGTTTAACATAGGTCAGGCTTGGACAGGCAACCTCAGGTTACAATTCGGGCCTGAACAGGTCTCAACATAACTTAGACTGGACTTGGATAACCTCCCAACCCGATCGAGTTATACCTCTAAGATAGTCATGGTGCAAAGGTGAAACGATGAATGAGCAAAAGGGGCGATCGAAGTGGAATAGAAGAAGTCAACAAAATAGCCTTTATTGGATGGTTTATATGAAAAGCTCGCAATGATCTCGTGTTTAATCGTATGCTAGTTATCCCAAGTGAAGTCATTCAGTAGTATTACCAAGCTTGGTTTGAGTATAAACAACATTGGAATGGGTCATCCGCTAGGCCTTTTTGGAGGGTCCTACATTGTATCCACCTTCTATAAGTGGCGTCTAGCCACGCACGGTGGATGTACGAGCACGAAATATTCTTCTAGTATAATCCTGTTGATCAAGTTTGTGCTCCTCCGTACGTCGTCGCTTTACTCCCTGAAAACACAAACGTGAGCTAGCCGACGAGTGTGTGTCGGATACCTCTCTGATGCCTAAGTCAGCAAAATAGACAAATAGACAAAAACTCTGTGTATTCGAGAATCAAAGTTGTGTTACCTCTTCCATAGGTTATGTTGTAAGCTTTTATAGGTTCCGTGTGGCACAATCCTAGTAGGACTCTTATTCCTCCATGTAGAGTCCTCCTAGGAATCACTCTCCTGAAAGATAATGCTTATCCTTCAACACCTCCCTTACTACTTAAACCAAGTGAGATGGTTTTACCTCGGTAGTATGGCAAAACGACCGAGATAACATAGCCATGCTAAACTGGCAGACACGACCGAGCTTTAACTATCTCGGTTCTTCCTTTTACAGCTTGTATCTCGGTTTCACTTCTTGAGACCGCGCTATCCACAGCGTGCTTGGATCGAGCTATTTAATAGCAAGGTTCTGAGAAAAAGCCCAAAATACCCTGGTCCTTAGTGGTATGACCGAGCTAACTGTTACTGCTCAGACCGTAGTGACTGAGCTAACTACAAAGCTCTTTCTGGGCCGGGCTAACTACAAAGCTCTTTTACTCAGCCCTTTTTACTGTGGCCCACAGAACGGTCCATCACCCCGCTCGGCCCAATTTACATATAAATTACCCTCTCAATCGCCCCTTAATTCCATCTGCGCAACATAATAGGGATTATCTTTTACCAGCCGAGTTAAAAACTTTAGCCTTCAACCGGGCTAAACTCACACCGAGCTACCAACTTGTCCGGTCAGAATATCTTTTCAGCAACTATAACTGAATCACTTCCCATTCCGTCGACATGTGGCGAACGCTTATTGGCCCAGCGTAGCTGTCACGCCATCTTCGTACTTTGGGAAATTTGAACAGTCCCGCCCTTTTTCTTTCTTTTCACAAAACCAAACCCCTAAGCCTTGAACCATCCATTTGCTCTATTCATCTTCTCTCTCTTTCTTGCTCAAGCCTCCATTTTTCTAATCTCAGTACCTGCGAAGCTTGCACCCTCTTCACCATTTCGTGGTTTCAGATCTCCATTCTTGCGTCTTCAATCCGTAAGTAACTCAATATTTTCTTGTTTTCCATTCATTTTGCAAATACACATAACATAGATATATACGTACACATATATATCACAAAGCATGCTCTATATAAACACGTTATGGGTAAGAACAGAAAAAGCAAGACCCCCAAACCATAGGTTCATGTTTTTTAAAAGCACACCCTCTGGGTGTGACCGAGCTACAAACCTGTTTGGGCAATCTCAAGGTTTAGGTTTAACCGAACTAGGGAATCTTCTAGGTGTGCACCCAGCCAAAGTAGATAACTCTTCAACTAACTGAACTAAAACTTCATGCCGCATCTGAAATTTTAATAGGTCCAAGTACCTCTTGCTTTACTTAGCCGAGCTAGCGAACTGCCTTAAGTTTGCGCAATACCGCGCTAGAAAGCCCTAACCACCGACCAAGCCATAACTTCGGGCTAAACCAGCTTCCTTAGTTAAAACCGAACTAAGAATGCTGTCTCAAATGCTCAATCGGGCTAAAGACCCTTGCTTAAATCGGGCTGAGAATGGACAGTATCCCACGTAGCTGAGCTAGGACTTCATTCATCTTGCCTTTGTTTCTTTTAACACGGTTCAACGATTTGTGCTTAACACCTTTCTTTTTCACCTTGCAGACTCTGACTAGGTTGCCCAGGCACTCATTTGAAAGTCCAACCGAGATAACCAACGTCATCTCAGCACCGAGCTAGTACTTTGCTAATTTATACGTAATTTAAGACCTCATTGGTAAATATAGGTTTTTGGTAAACACACCAAGTGCTATGGCCGAGTTCCGAAGGGACTACCATATCCCTGATGATGTCCATCTTACCTTAGCCGAACTAGATACCACACCCTGGGGAAACCCTGGCTTTGTTCCCTTTACCCTTCTTTCAATTGTAGAAACCGGACTTAGATTCCCTGTACAGCCTCTTCTTTGCGAATTCCTTAGACAAACAAACCTCTGCCCTACCCAGCTTTCCACAAATTCATACCGCATAATAAATGGCATCGCCGAGCTAAACTGTGGGGCTGGCCTTTAATCTCGGTTTAGCCGAGCTCTTCCACCAATATTTCATGGGTTCAAATGAGGATGCCTAGGTTTCTTATTTAAGAATAAGGCGCCAGCATGAAAAGATAATAAAAAATACCCCAGACAAGGATGTAAACGACGATGATTTCTTCTGGGTTTTTAGGAACTTCGAAGACCATGAAGCCCAGATCCCAGGCAACCGAATAAACTGGAACAAAGGAGTCGCCGGTATAATTACCTCGACTCAATTTCGTGTTTTTCTTTTACTTCGGTTTTCTCATTCTTGATCGGGCTAACTGTTGTCTTTTTTCTTTATGCAGATTTGAACTTTCTCAAGTCCCAGTACAGCTACCCAAACCTTGATGCCCTCCGCGCCGCACTAAGATATCCAAATCGAAGTTGGGCCGAGCTACTAGACTTCGAGCTGACCTACAAATACAGGAGCAGGAGGAAGACCAGAGTAACAGACTTCCTCTTAGAGCCCTCTCTTGAGCCTGATCCAACCCTTCCACAAATCAATCTTATCCCTTTGACCGCAGAACAAGAGATGGCGAAGAAGAGAGCAGTGAGGACTCTAATTACGGAGACAAACCCAGCCGAGGTACAACAAGCTGGACAAACTCAAGAGACTACTGT